AACCCCAGTGTATCCAGGGGACCCCGTTTAATAGTCCACTTGATTATGTTGACACCTGGTTGAGGTGCTGGCTAACCCTTTGTGTCAGAGTAACTGGTTTGCGCTGCTTTTTTAAAAAACTTGAAGCATGTCTCAGCAATGTCATCTACTGCTTCCCCCCATCCATAAGGCTTGTTACCTTTTGTTACCTAAAGCTATTAGGTATTTTGACATGATTTGTTCTTCACAAATCCATGTTGCCTGTTACTTATCACCTTATTATTTTCTAGGTGTTTGCAATTTGATTGCTTTATTATTTGTTCCATTATCTTTCCGGGTACAGTAACTCCTCACTTAACATTGTAGTTCTGTTCCTGAAAAATGCGACTTTAAGCGAAACGATGTTAAGCGAATCCAATTTCCCCATAAAAATTAATGTAAATGAGGGGGTTAGGTTCCAGGGAAATTTTTTTCACCAGACAGAAGACTATATATATATATATATATAAGTTTTAAACAAACAATTTAATTAATAGTGTGTGTGTGTGTGTGTATATACACACACAAGTTTTAAACAAACAATTTAATACTAGTACACAGTGATGATGATTGTGAAGCTTAGTTGAGGTGGAGGAGTCAGAGGGTGGGATATTTCCCAGGGAATGCCTTACTGCTAAATGAACTAGCAATTGGCTGAGCCCTCAAGGGTTAACTCTCACACTCTACAAGGCAGCAGGAATGGAGAGAGGAGAGACAGCAGGGCAGACAGAGACACACACCGTGTGTGTGAGAGCGAAAGATGCGCATTTCCCCTTTAAGTACACTGCCTTGTTAATTAGATCAGCTTGCTGAGACGCAGCTGCTGCCAGCAAGCTCCCTCTGTCCTAAGCCCTGTCCTGTGTCCCCCCGCTCTATGGAAGATGGGGTAAGCGGGGTGCAGGGGGAGGGGGACACCCTGACCTTAGCCCCCCTCTTCCTCCCCTCCCCCCTGCACAGCAAGCGGGAGTCTCGGGGAGCAGCTCCAAGGCAGAGGGCAGGAGTAGCACATGGCAGTGGGGGGAGGGACAGCTGCAATTGCTAGCTTGCTGGGCAGCTGCTGCACGGGGAGCAGGGAGCTGATAGGGGGACTGCCAGTCCAGCCTGGTTCCAAGCCCCCACCAGCGAGCTGCAACGGGCTGCTCTTTCTGCAAGCAGTGGACAAAGCAGGCGGCTGCCAAACGATGATAGAAGGGAGCATTGCGCAACTTTAAATGAGCATGTTCCCTAATTTAACAGGAACGAAACAACGTTAACCGGGACGACTTTAAGTGAGAAGTTACTGTACTGAAGTTAAGCTGACTGGTCTGTAATTCCAGCACTGTTTCCAATACAGATCCTTGAGGAAACCTACTATTTACCCCTCTCCACTGTGAAAACTGATCATTTATTTCTATCCTTTGTTTCTTATCTTTTAACCAGTTATTGCTCCATGAGAGGACCTTTCCTCTTATCCCATGACACCTTAGTTTGCTGAAGAGCTTTTGATCCAAGTACACTATATGCACTTGATCACCTTTGTCCACATTCTTCTTGACTCCTGCAAAGTATTCTAATAGAATGGCGAGGCATGATTTCTCTTTACAAAAGCCATGTTAACTCTTCCCCCACATATTATATTTGTATCTGATAATTCTGTTCTTTACTATAGTTTCAATCAGTTTGCCTCGTACTGAAGTCAGGATTATTGGCCTGTGATTGCCAGGATCACCTCTGGAGACTTTTCTGAAAAATCAGCATTACATTAGCTAGTCACCTGTGCAGAGGCTGATTTAAGTGATAGGTTACAAACCAGTTAGTAGTTATACAATTTCATATTTGAGTTCCTTCAGAACTCTTGGGTGAATGCCCTCTGGTCCTGGTGACTTATTACTGTTTAATTTGTTCCAAAACCTCCTTTACTGACACCTCAATCTGGGACAATTCCTCGTATTTGTCACCTAACAATAGCAGCTCAGGTGTGTAGAACTGCCCCCCCCCATCCTCTGCAGTGAAGACTGATGCAAAGAATTAATGTATCTTCTTCACAATGGCCTCGTACCCTCACTCTTGCAGCACACCTGCAACGGCCTAGCCGGTAGCCAGGAGTACCATCCACCTGTCTTGCAATCTTAACTAAGTCTATGCTCAGTTTCTGCCTATCCCCCCATCCTCATTTGCTGTACAATTTGGCCAGATGTATTTCTGAAGGAGGCATATATGCCACTAGTGAGACTCTTGTGTATACACTGGATGGATCAGACAGACCAGAATGATGTCGCAGTAGCCATACTGCTGTTGTGACATATTCCTCTTGGTCGGAGACTATCCAGTAATTACACCATTCCAGTATACCATGATGGCCATCATATTAGAGTCATGAATGGGTATTTTCCAGGCCAGAACAGAGATTATTGCAAACTGTGGAAAACAAAGTGGATACTACAGCTTTGTTTTTCTGATTGGGTTGACATGGATGAGGAGTTCTTCAGGCGTTTCAGCTTAAATCAAGGTCGTAATTTAACAGTGTCATTGTAGCCTCTTGCAATACTTCAAATGGAATCAAATGTCCAATTATATGGCTTTTGATATATTGTATTCATAAGAAAAATTAGTAGAATGCAACAATATACTACACGACAATGTAATAAACAAGTGTTTTTATTATTATTCAAAAATGACAAACTGGCTAAATTCTGCATTATTATACCAGCAGATACTCATAGTAACCCATTGTAAAAAGCTATAAGTCAAATTCAACCTTGGTGTAACTCAGCTGGCTTCAGTGGAAATATACCAGAGATGAATTTGGCCCAGTGTACCTAGTGGTGTACGTACCTGCTACGATTTAAGACCAAATAAAGAGAAAATACAAGGTGGTTGGGGGCATATACAAGTCTTAAAATATTCCCTGCTCCACTTTAGCATGGAAACAGGATTCCACTGTAATTTAGAGATATGAGAGAAGTGACATTATTATTCATCCAAAAAAGCAGAGATGTACTAGAAAGGGGAAGAAGTAATTGCTAGGAACAACAGTTTTCACCTAAGTTTAACTTCAGCCAATACTTATTCTACCAGCCCTAAAATACCCCATTGATAATACACCTGTAGTAAATAAACATGCTTACATTTCCACATTATTGCTAGCAAGTGACAGTTTTTAATTCTAATCAGCTGAGTATGTTGCACAAAATCATGAGAAGTTTAACACTTGTAGAAGTCTGTTTTCCTGTTGATGAAGATTTACACTTCCCAATCATGTTAAAGGCTGTATTTCAGATGTTACATGTGCATATCAGATGTAGAAATTACCAATTTAGGGCTTAACTCTGCTCTTAAATATGTGGATTTCTGTTTCCATAGAGCTAGTGAGATCATCTGCTATCCAATTGTGTGTAAACCACAGGAACTGATTTTTACAAGATAGACGTGTTCCTATCCCGTGTATCTCAGATTGCAATAGAGGGTGAAACCTTGGCCCCACTGAAATCAACGGCAAAGGTTCTCACCCAGATCTCTTTGTGATTTTGATTAATGTAATTTCCCCTCTAATTATATCTTGTTCTCATGAAAACACTACAGTACACAAACAACATTTAGAAAATACTGGTGATTCTTTAGCAAAGAGAAACAATCATAAACCCTGGACTATTCTGCATATTTAGAAGTTCAACACAAGTATTTTACATTTTCTGTAAAATTTGTGTTTTTAATGGAAATTAATAGCTAATGCCTTACAGAGTTGCCAATTTTGTAGTTTGTGCTATGTCCTAAATTACCACCTTATAGACACCTAACTGTAACTAGACTGTCAGTCTTATTTCTGAACTATTTGCTACATTTTAAAAAAAACCTGTTTAATGCATACAAATAAAATATTATGTTTACTCAAATACTTGCACAGTGCAAATGCTGTTAACATTTAAAATAAAAATTTTCAATAAAGACCCATATACTTAGAAATATTTCTAAGAAAAATGTACAAAAATTAGAAAAATAAGTCGTCTCTGTTCGAGAAAAATACTAAAAGTATTCCAACCACTGTCATAAATAATATACATATATATAATATGTTAGTGTAAAAACTGTGTGGACTGAAACAGATGTTAGTTATTTGCATATCAGATACAGCAAAGTATCAACTACCGTTATAGAAAATACTAACCAGAACATTCAAGCATCAAATTTCTCTATTCCAGTGTTTAAAAAAAAGCAGCCCCAGGCTAGCAGAAAGTCCGTGCACATTTTCTGCAAAATCAGACATGAGTGCTGGGTAAGTCTTGCGCTGGCCCACTGCACTGGGGTGAATTTCACCCAAGTATTCAGAATTGGCTATAGATCTTGACAGCCTGAGGCAGTACTTTTGTTCAAAAAATGTATTTAAAAGCTAAAAATCCTATAATCACACGTAAAAAGTTCTGTTTTCATTTTTTTAGTAGATGTCAAATAAACACCATCGTATCACAGTACTAAAAGTTAACCAGAAACTTAATACATTAGGGTCAAATCCAGAGACACAACACCCAGCGAGGCTAAACGGCCTCTCCAGTAGGCAGAGGAAAAAGAATCCAGGCCAAAGCCATAGAGCCAATTCACAGCTATTACTTTATCCAGTGGTTTAAACGGCCTTTTGTACTGCAGAACCATGCTGGCTCCACAGTCAGAGGGCCCTCAGTGGTCACTGAGGTGGGGTTACATTTGTCCCTTCCTGTGTGTTTGGTTTTTTTAAATCTGGTTAGGTAAGTCTTGCCATTCACTAAGGACTTAATTCTGCACCCACAGAAATCACTAGGAAAACTCCAACTGCCTTCATGTCCTTAAAAAGGGAGTGATTTTGATGCAACAGTTCTGGAAAATGCAAATTATGTTGCCTTGTGAGGTAAGTGGTTACACTTCAGAACATTATGCAATGCTCTGTATTGTATATTCGGCAGCAACTCTATACAAGCATTTTAAAATATCTAATACTAAACAGTTTTAACAAAGAAAAATTACAACAAACAACGCTGAACCAAAATGTTGTCATGGGACTGGGTTCAATATCCAGGATGAAAAGGTGCCTGCTGCCAGGGAGCTGAAAACAAAGAAAAATATACTTGAGAAAGGATTAAGGCACAGGAAATATAGATTCCTCTTTCCACCCTCCAAAGCCCACCAAACACCACGCCTTTGCCCTTCTATAGCATCTTCTGAAGGTTTCAAAAGCATTCAGTGACTGAAGCACTGATCTTCACCCTGTGCAGAGGACAGCAAAAGGCCTATGCACCTTAAAGTCCTATAATGCAAAGTCCTGTGCAGGGGTGAATTTCAGCCTTTATAAATATTTATAATGAGTTAAGCCGAACAGCGCTTGTCCAAGGGTACATACCAAGTCTGTGGAATAGCTGGAGTTAGAATCCAGTTTGCCTGATTCTCAGTCCTATGCTTCAACTACTACCATAGTCCCTCTGCATGAGAGTGTAAATGTAGACTATATGTTGGAGTTTCAAAAATGCCTACGTGATTTAGGAGCACAAGTTGCACTGAAAGTCAGCGGAATGTGTGCTTCTAAGTCAAATAATTGCTTTTGAAAAATCCCACCTATACTCTTATCCATTAGTGGCAAATACCTCATAAATCATAAGGAAGACTACGTTTTAGTCACGGGTATTTTTAGTAAATGTCATGGACAGGTCACAGGCAGTAAACAAAAATTCACGGCCCATGACTTTTACTAAATACCCCTGACTAAAACTTGGGAGGGGGGGATGGCCCTGGGGGTGTTGTGGGTGCAGGGGAGGGGGGCATGGCCCATGGGGGTGCCGCAGGTGCTCGGGGGGGGGGAGTCGTGGCCCGGGAGGGATTACGGGGGGGTGTCATAGCCCAGGGGGCACCGCGGGTGCTGGGGAGGTGGCCCGGGGGCCATAGGTGCTCGGGGGGGGGGCACAGCCCAGGGAGGCACCACAGGTATTTGGGGGGGCACAGCCCAGGGGGCACCGCGGGTGCTGGGGGGGTGTTGGCGGGTCTGATGCAGGCTCCCTACCTGGCTCCTAGCTCCATGTGCTGCCTCCGCTCTGCCCCAGCCCCGGTTCTGCAGCTCCCATTGGCAGGGAACCGTGGCCAATGGGAGCTTTGGGGGCGGTGCCTGCGGGCGGAGACAGCACGTGGAGCTGAGGGAGGGGAGTTGCTGTCACCCTTACGGGAAGCCCCCCCCAGGTAAGCACTGCACCCCAACCCCCAGCCCTGAGGCCCCCCCCAAACTCCTGCTGCTGGGGAGCGGGGGCAGGGGGAGCAGACCGCCCCAGCAGCATCCAGTGCAACTGGCCCAGGGCTGCCCGAGCTGCTCAGGTAGCCCCCGGGCCAGGCACACCGGCCACTGCAGAAGTCACGCAGGTCACAGAATCCGTGACCTCCGTGACAAACACGGAGCCTTAATCATAAGCACCAGAAAAATCTCAGAAATGTTCTCAGGAGTAGGAGGGTGGCACTGAGCATTGGCAAGGGAAAAAAATCCTGCTGCTTTTTGTAAAACAGAGCCTACTTTAGTACAAAAAGGAAACCAACCTCTTCTAGTCTAAACCAGGCAACTCTCCTCACCACCATTTTTCATTTACCGGGCGGGGAGGGGGGAATGGTTACCTCAAAAGAGAGTGGTATTGGGCAGAAGAGTGGTTAAAAAAACCTAACAAAACATGCCAGCTATTCTAGCAAACCAGAACTGAAAATCATGTACCCAACTGTTTATATGTATCTTTGTGCACACAGTAAATACGTGGTCGCTGGGAACAGGAAAGGGAAGTTACTTACCACGACAGTAACTGAAGGACTCTGAGGTGTGTGGTCCTTCCCTGTATTCCATTGAGGGTGCACATGCGCCTGTGACCAGAAGATTTTTGCTAGCAGTGTGTATCGGACTGTGCCTGCGCACTTATCTCCTCCTGCTCCAAACTGGTGCAGAGCTCTCCAGTTCCTTCTCTGCTGTGAATCAACTTTAAGATCTGCAGCAGAGGGGAAGGAGGGTGGGTAGTGGAATACAGACAGGTTTCACACACCTCAAATAACTTCAGTTACTGTACAGGAAAGTAACTTCCTTTCCTTCTTCAAGTGCTGGCCCCTATGTGTATTCCACTGTCGGTGCCTGACAAGCAGTGTCTATTAAGGAGGAGGATGAGAGGACCTCTGGGAAGCTACAGACAGTACTACAGCAGTGCCCAGGGAAGTGTTAGCTGCAGAGGCCTACACCAAAGCATGTTCTCTGCAGAAGATATGGACTGACTCCACATGGCTCCTTTACAAATTTCAAGGATGAGGACATTTTGTAAGGAGGCTACTGAAGCAGCCTGGGAGCTCACACCTTGCAGTGCAGGAGTATTTGTCAGCTCATAGCATAGCAGAACGCAGGTCAGGATCCATTTGGAAAGAAGTTGGGATGAGACAGCTTCCCCTCGCATTTGTTCTGCAACTGATGCAAACAGTCTGGGTGATTGTCTCAATGAGTTAGAAAATGACTAGCAACAAGATCCTTATGAGCTCTTGAGCCTCCATGACCAGAACAAGATGTCTCCTCTGCCTTTGAATGTGCTGGGGAAGAAGCTCTCCTCTTAGAGGTGGATATAGAGGGTGATCTCTCTAAGTATTTTGAAGTGTTTCCTGTCCTCATTAAGTGGAGTCCTTGGTTCCTCTCCTGTGTCTGATGTTGCAGAGCTAAGAGGCATGCTCCTGAGTGCTTTGGGCCACTGCACAGAGGAGTCTACCGGGCCTATGTCAGACTGCAGCCTCATTGCACACTGCACAAAATGTTTTCTAAGTCTGTCTTCTCATGCTTGGTGGATCTGGTTGGGAAAGGCATGGCGAATATTGCACTTGGAAGCTACATGAGCCTCTGCAAGGCAATAGAAGCACTTTTGGTGGTCGTCACTGATTGAGAAGATCTGGGAGTAGGAGATGCAGGTTTTAAAGCCCAGAAGCTTTGGCATAATAGTCCCCCTGTACAGGAGGTGTAGGGTAAACCCAAATCTAACTCACTAACTGAATACCAAGTTAAACACTATCACGATCTACTAATAAGAAGAAAAATATTTACAGAGAAACACTGAAAAGCTTTGCAGACACTGAAGAGGTTCCATCTCAGACCATGTGGCAGTAGAAAGGAACTGGAAAGGTGGTCAGTCAGCACCACCCTTTACATTCTTGGTTCAGAGCATAAGGAGAGGAAGGCCACAGATGTGGACCAACTGACACTATTAGCAAAAATCTTCTGGTCTCAGGTGGATGAAGTGCATGAGCACCCACTGTGGAATATATATAAGGACCATCTCTTGTAGTAGCATTCCGTTTACAGCTAAATGGTGATAATCAGGAGATTTGCTAGTATCTTCCTTCTCAAGATTTAAGTGTAATAATATAGTCTCCACTCGTCAACCCTGAGCCACAGACTCACAGGTAAGGTGGTTTGTACAATACATTTCAAATGTTGCAAACAGGTGCTTGGCAGCATTTGTGCATACTGGGCCAAATTCTCACTTACGTGACCAAGGGCCAAATCCTGAGGACTAGTTATGCAATCACAAGGGGCTAAAAATCTCCTATCAACCTATCTCCACACTCTTCATTGTGATGATAGAGTCTGAGGATGGTAGACCAAGTGTGGAAAGGGATGGAGGGGTAAGTACAGGCACAAAGAGGAGAAGGGAAACCAGTTCTAGAGAGGGTCAATACTGCAGCCCCTCTAATTTCATTCTACACCAGCTCTGACCCTAGGTCAATTAGCCTAGTTAAGAGCTTGGTTACGCAGCCACTTTGGTTATACAATGAAGTAGTTCTATAACTGACTGAGACAGGTTTCAGAATGAACAGCAGCACCCTTGGGGAACCAGGGGCGTGACAGTCACCCCTCTAAAGAAGGCCAGCACAAGGCCTATGAATCATTTAAGTCCTCAAAATAAGGGGTGAGAAAAATTTAAGTAGTGCACAAGGGTGAATTTCACTCCATGCATTTATCATTAAGCACAGAAATACTAAATAGAGAGCGTGTATTTGTTTTCCAGTGTAACATTAAAATTAGCACTGTCAAGCAAATAAAAAAATTAATCGCACGGTCAAAAAAATTAACCGCACTGTTAAACAATAATGGAATACCATTAATTTAAATATTTTGGATGTTTTCTACATTTTCAAATATACTGATTTCAATTACAACAAAGAATACAAAGTGCACAGTGCTCAGTTTATATTTATTTTGATTACAAGTATTTGCACAATAAAAAACAAAAGATATAGTATTTTTCAATTCACCTAATACAAGTACTGTAGTGCAATCTCTATCATGAAAGTTTAACTTACAAATGTAGAATTATTTACAAAAAACCTGCATTCAAAAATAAAACTATGTAAAATTTTAGAACCTGCAAGTCCACTCAGTCCTACTTCTTGTGCAGCCAATCACTCAGACAAACAAGTTTGTTTACATTTGCAGGAGATAATGCTGCCCACTTCTTGTTTACAATATCACCTGAAAGTGAGAACAGGTGTTCTCATGGCACTGTTGTAGCCGGCGTCACAAGATATTTACATGCCAGATGCGCTAAAGGTTCATATGTCCCTTCACACTTCAACCACCATTCCAGAGGACATGTGTCTATGCTGATGACAGGTTCTGCTCGATAACAATCCAAAGCAGAGCAGACCGACGCATGTTCATTTTAATTATCTGAGTCAGATGCCACCAGCAGAAGGTTGATTTTCTTGTTTGGTGGTTCTGTAGTTTCCGCATCTGAGTGTTGCTCTTTTAAGACTTCTGAAAGCATGCTTCACACCTTGCCCCTCTCAGATTTTGGATGGCACTCAGATTCTTAAACTTTGGGTCGAGTGCTGTAGCTATCTTTAGAAATCTCACATTGGTAGCTTCTTTGAGTTTTATCAAATCTGCAGTGACAGTGTTTTTAAAATGAACAACATGTGCTGGTTCATCACCTGAGACTGCTATAACATGAAATATTTGGCAGAATGCGGGTAAAACAGAGCAGGGGACATATTTTCTCCCCAAAGTTCAGTCACAAATTTAATTAATGCATTTTTTTTTTAAATGAGCGTCATTAGCATGGAAGCATGTCCTCTGGAATGGTGGCTGTAGTAGGATAGGGCATATGAATGTTTAGCATATCTGGCACGTAAATACATTGCAATGCCGGCTACAAAAGTCCCATGCAAATGCCTGTTCTCACTTTCTGGTGACATTGTAAATAAGAAGAGGGCAGCATTATCTCCTATAAAAGTAAATAAACTTGTTTGTCTCAGCAATTGGCTGAACAAGAAGTAGGACTTGTCGGCGCTTAAGTTTTACATTGTTTTGTTTTTGAGTGCAATTATGTAACCAAAAAAATCTACTTTTGTAAATTGCACTTTCACGACAAAGAGATTGCACTACAATACTTGTATGAGGTGAATTGAAAAATACTATTTCTTTTGTTTATCATTTTTACAGTGAAAATATTTGTAATTAAAAATAATATACACTTGGATTTCAATTACAACACAGAATACAATATATATGAAAATGTAGAAAAACATCCAAAATATTTAATAAATTTTAATTGGTATTCTATTGTTTAACAGTGTGAATAAAACGGCGATTAATTATGATTTATTTTTTTGAGTTAATCGCATGAGTTAACTGCGATTCATAGACAGCCCTAATTGAAATGTAAGTCTAATAACTCAAATGGAATACACAACTAGATCATTAGCATTAGACACTGACAGCTAGGAAAATTATAAGGCTAGGAATGTTCAGCTAGTCCAGGTATCTAATGGCTGAAAAATGCTTAATGCTTTATCAATTTTTACAGTAAGACACTCATTGGAGGGGGGCACTGCGGAGTTCATGCTCCCAGCCTTTAGGGAAAGGAAGTGCTTATTGCATTATTCAACAATTGCTCTACATCGGGGTGGGCAAACTTTTTGGCCCAAGGGCCAGATCTGGGTATGGAAATTGTATGGTGGGCCATGAATGCTCATGAAATTGGGGGTTGGGGAGTGGGAGGGCGTGCGGGCTCCAGCTGGGGGTGCGGGCTCTGGGGTGGGGCTGGGGATGAGAGGTTTGGGGTGCAGGAGGGTGCTCTGTGCTGCAATCAAGGGGTTCAGAGGGTGGGAGGGGGATCAGGGTTGGGGCATGGGAAGGGGTCAGGTGTGCAGGCTCTGGGCAGCACTTACCTCAAGCAGCTCCCGGAAGCAGCAGCATGTCCCTTCTCTGGCTCCTACATGGAGGCATGGCCAGGTAGCTCTCCATGCTGCCCCGTCCACAGGCGCTGCCCCTGCAGCTCCCATTGGCTGTAGTTCCCGGCCAATGGGAGCTGCGGGGGCAGCACTTGGGGTAGGAGCAACATGCGGAGCCCCCTGGCTGCCTCTATGCATAGTAGCCGGAGCGGGGACATGCCCTCTGCTTCTGGGAGCCATGTGGAACCAATCGAGGGCCGTATTAAAACATCTGAAAGGCCGGATGTGACCCCCGAGCCGTAGTTTGCCCACCCCTGCTCTACATACTAGCTGAAAGAGACTTCACAATCCCAAAAGGAAAGTGTTAGCACTATGTCATAATACAGTGAAACACTAAATGAGGATGGATTTATGAAGACTGAAACCATGGGTAAAACTACTACAGATGCACTGCCCAGTTTGAAAGATACTGAGCCAAATTCAGAGGTGACTCACTGATTCTAAGAGAGTCTAGTTTGCACCTCTGCATGTGGCATAGTGTATCATTTGAAAAATCAGTGGCTAAAGGCCAAAAACTTAATAGTACTTGTTCTATCCGAGGTTGAGGCAGCAAAGCAATGTCTAGATTTAAACACCCAATGTCACTACTAAAACAATATGAAAAAAATACTGAATTTAATAGCCAGGCACTTACTGCTGGTCCAAACAGCTCCTGAGGATGATCCTGTATTGGAAGGATATGGAAAAGGACCTTGTGACCAAGGCTGATTTGCAGCATATTGTGGTAAAGATGGCACCTGAAAGCTGTAAGGAAGGGGCATCTGAGAACGAACATATCCAGGCACTGGGTATATTTGAGCATAGTTAGGCCTTTGTAGCTCCTCAAGAGCAGCATAACTAAATGACTGGGAGTAAAACATATTAGCGTGTGCATTATACACGTTACTTGCAACTGCAGATGTGCCAGAATGAGCAAACTGTTGTACTTGATAAGTTATCCCCTGGTAAGTCTGGGTTATGGAACCGCCATTGCTATCACTTTGATGATAAGAATAAAAGGAATAGTAAGGATAGGCTGTCTCATAAGCCTGCACTAAAGAACATTGCACTGGAGGTGTTGATAGTGGAAGTTCATTTTGAAAGACAGCAGAATGTTCAGCAGGGCTTTTTGCATTTTCATTGGAATGTGGTTCCAAAAGAGAGCACACCGATGGTGATGGTGTATTTTTATTTGCCATAATCACAGGAAGATCTGAAGTACTGACAGGCACGCTGCTGGGAGACTCCGAGTTCGTTTCATGTTTCTTGTCTTTTCTATCAGGTTTTGTGGCTAAATTATTAGTTTTACTATATTCAGCCAGTAAACTGGATCTTGATATATTTCCTGTGGCGTCTGATTCTTGCACATGCTGTAGATTTAGTGCAGCAGACACAGCAGAAGAACTATCACCTTGTTTTGTTGTTGACCTAACAGATTTGTGTGTTGAACATAAATTATTCTCAAGAGACTTTTGAAGTAGTGGTTCTTTTTCTAAAGACAAATGGGCATTTTCACATTTCTTGTCACAGGGTGCAAAACCTTCATGATCTTTTCTTGCACTTTTGTAACAATTACTGTTTCTTCTGATCATGTGCTTTAGGTTTGCTGAGCTCTGCTGGCTGGTTAAGCCTTTTAAATTAACAAATGAGCTTTTTGAAGCATCTGGTGTACATTTAACATGTGGAGAGCAATAAACAGCTTCCAAATCTTTTGAATGCAAAAGTGAGCGTGGTAATTGGTCTTGCACAGCTTTTTCTAGAGGCCTCTTGTTTCCTAGATTATCCGGTGAGATACTCGACGCTAGATCTTTTTCATTTTGAGGATTAACTCTTGCATTCTCTCTAAAAAGAGCAAAACAGAATTATATACTTGTACATCCACACTTCCGTTTTATCCCATTGGTAATAAAGAATACATATACATCACTATCAAATACTGGTAGTAAAATAATTGCTTACAAGGCAAATGCATAAAACATCTGCTTTAATCCTTTAAATATATATGGATTAACAACTCATTAGTCCATACTATTTTATAATTACAGGATGTAATACTGTAGACTATTATTCCACACAACTTTATTGTATTTTATAGTCCAGGCATATGTTATTCAACATTATACTTTTTTTTTATTTGGACATTATTCTAGAATTTCCTCAATGTTTAGTCTGTGCAGTCCAGTGTGGAAGTATTCTACCTGAGCAAAACTGAACAAAACTATACAGTTTGGATTCACAAACCAAATCACACATCTTATGCCTGAGGAAACCATGAAGGAACTCTGCTCCTTGCTTTTCTCTGTCCCCTAACAACTGTCTGCTGAAGACAATGGGGAAGATTCTACCTCGTCTCTTCCTGAAATAGCTTTGTTAAGTTCAGTGCCTTTAACTGGTGCTCTGATCTCTGAACTCAAGAAGAGTGAGTGGTGCACCAATCGACATACTTCATCATCAGCTCCTATAATATGTAGGCAAAGAGAAAGAGTCATCTCGGATTCCAGACTAGGGAGGTAAAAAAATGAATGCTTTGGTCTGAAACCAGGCAGCTGGTAGCCCTATTAGTGTCTTTTAGTAGTAACAAAAATATTTTCTTGCAAGGTAAGAATTTGATAATTCCACCATAAGTATTGATCTACCATTGGAATGCTGAAAAACAATAGCATATGTCCCATTTCTAAATTTACCACAACTAGAAATCTGACTTGATATACTACAGGATTTAAGCTTCGAAGTGTAATTTCTACTCTTTCCTCCATCCTAAAAAAGCGCTGTTAATCTTCATTCCTTCTCCAACACTATACCTATAACTCTCTTCTTCCCACCTTGCTCCCTCTCAATCCCAGATGCAATGAATTTTCTTCTTTGAATTTAAGCAGCTGGTTAGTGATTTAACTGAAACAAACAAACAAATTGTAGTATCTGGAGCTTTAAAAACAATAGCATTTATGGCAATTTGCAACAGAGTTCAAAAGGCGTGTCAGTTGGCAGCAACTGGACATAGAGTTAAAGACTGACTCCAAGAATGAAGTGGATGTAGCATGTAAGAAAGAACCTGCTAACTCATCTCATATGTTACTTTATTTTTCTTGTTGTTATACTGATCAAATTGAATTGTAGTTAATTAAAAGGCCGTATGTGGCTTATTGGAAAATCAGGAGTCAAAACAGGAAAATCATTGGTGGGAAACCTTTGATGGAATTCTTGAAACACTACGGTGAATCAGTGAAGCAACAGTTACAGAAGAGTTCTGTATCTGAAGAGAGAGGAAGAGAAATAAAGTACAAAGAGGGTAAAAATGGCCATGTCTGGAAAATGGACACTTTTCATTTTGATAGCAAAGTTGAGGATTTGAGTTTAAGTACAAAGGCTGCATTTGTATGTTTATGCCAATGCCTCTGAAGTCAATCACAAGTTCCAACTCTGGTTGGAAAGAGATATTTACACACTTATGTTTCGCTCAAGAGCTGGGTGACATGAACTAAGAGGACATGAAATGCTTAAAAACACTATGTACTCCGAACAGACTTACTAGCTAAGAGATACATGTCCCTTAAGATGCAAAAAGAAGAAAGCATATCTGATTTTCTGGCTACTCTTAAAGCTGTCCATAATCTCTGTCATTTCAGTAACCACTTAAGTCCTTCTAGGACTGTTCTGTAATTCAAATCAGAAATCCAAAGTTAAGAGAACGACCACTGAGTATAGCTCATAAAAAGGATCTTAATCTGGAAGGAACAGTAGATAGAGCTCTGTTTCTGTTGGTCGGTTCTGTTTGAAACAGTATGTCTGCTTAGGTGTCATACAAAGTAAGGCTAGGTCTACACTACAGCGGGGTTCCGACCTAAGATACGCAACTTCAGCTACGTGAATACCGTAGCTGAAGTTGCGTATTTTAGGTCGGCTTACCTGGCGGTGAGGACGGGGGAAAGCCGACCGCTGCCGCGCTGCCGCCGACTCCGCTGCCACCTCTTGTCGAGGTGGATTTCCGGAGTCGACGGCAGAGCGATCAGGGATCGATTTTACCGCGTCCTCACGAGACGCGGTAAGTCGATCCCCGATAAACCGATTGCTACCCGCCGGATCGGCGGGTAGTGAAGACGTAGCCTAAGAGAAGCACAACCCCAGGCAAAGGAAGGGACAGAAGGCACTCTTCTCTCACCAGGCCCACTTACCACAAACACAGAGTAGTGTGACCGTTTTCAAAAAATCCCCGAAGCTAGAACAAAACACTAAACTGCACTGCACACACAATTCTCCCCCTATGGGAGAGGATGAGAGAAAGAATGAGCCATATGTGCAGTCTGGGAGCATGTTGTAGTAAAATCTCATTCAGTGGGCAAGTTAGTGATAGAAAGATAAGGGAGGTGTCATTTGACTGGAAAAATTTACAGAATCATAATTTCAATTGTGTTACTCTCTGCAGCGTGGCCAGGGGGACTCACTGCCCCCCACTCTTCCAGTTCCAGGTCCTCTGGTGGAAAATTTGATTATATAATGTCATCGGGCTGAGTTGAGTATTATTCGAAAGACCTTTCTCCCACAACTACAATGGTACCAAAATGTGACAAAGCTAGAAAAACTATGTAGATATATATTCAAGAAAATATGTAAAAATCAATTATTTTTAATTATTTTTTACACAGGAATGCATTGCTTACATAAAGAAAAAGACACAGATTTTTGGTAATCCAAGAGAACTTAGACTTGACATGTAGGACTGAAAACATTTATTAATCAAAATCATCATTAGTGTTGTCTGTGCCTAGGGCACCACTGCTACACACACTGTCGCGCTGACAGTGTCTGGGTGGCACTTGCACAGCTCCATACCAGGCAGGCTGCTGGGAAAACATTTGCAGGGCAGTGAGCATCTGGTCTCTGCACATGAGAAATTGATTAGCTGAAGGACTGATTCTGGAGTGCAAATCTCAGGTGTTAACATTTTTTTATTTGTCGAGAGCTTGTGCTTCAGCCATATCCTCTATGATTGCTAAGCAGGACAGCCTCTGCTGGCATAAGGTACCAACCAGTCACATTGTCAGTAGGTGCTAGCTTGGGGAAGACCATGCAAGATGTGCATTAATTTGCTTTTCATCTGGCACATAAGCATAGTTTCATTGCACTTAAACATTGATCATGGTACCACAGAAAACTCATATTTTCCCATAAGATGTATGAGGAATCTGCCACAGATTTTGGAATGAATTGTTAAACCAACTGCCACTTGTAGTCGTAGATTATGAATACGCCACACCGTTGTCATGTATGTGCTGGAAACCTGCCTTTCACTCAAGCACTTGTACATGAGGCTTTGTGATAAAATGGCAGTCGTGTGCTCCAATTACTTGTTGGTGTTGAAGTCACTGCGCTCACCAATGCACTACTTAAGGAAGTAGTATGGGTTACGCAGTATTATTTTTCAGGTTTGGCATCAGCAGGGTGATCAGATAGCAAGCGTGAAAAATTGGGACACTTTGTGGGGGGGGGGTATAAGTTGTGTATATAAGACAAAGCCCCTAATATTGGGACACCTGGTCACTCTAGGCATCAGCTACGGATCCCATAAACGCCCACATGCTGTAGGACAAAATGCTTTTCCATAAAAATGTAGCAGTTGCAAGCAGAGGATCTTCATATTACTGTTGACATCAGCCCCTTCTTCCACTTTTGACAGCACCACAGCTTTTGTAGCTTAAGGACAGGTGCTGTGATTCATTTCTGTGGACAGAACTGCTAAAAACTAGGTCCATATCCCACAGTTCATCTTCAATAAGTGCTTTAAGAGCCTTTCTTCTAAGCATTTGTTCCTCTTCAATCCCATTCAAAGCACATACTTCTCTGTACTTAGCCTCTGCATTGGCCATCACCACCATGTTCCCGTCCATTAGAGCCTCCATGAGGCAATTTACAAACACCAGCTGAGTTGCAGTTTGCAGTAGTAAAATCAGTATTTGTTTCTGTTGTTTTTACCTTTTGGCGCAGCACTTGATGTGATTCCATGCACTCTTACCGTGCAACATTCTTGCTAAGAGATACTGCTTCACACAAATGAAGATGAGAAACTTTTAAATATCCAAAGACCTGCAGAGGGTGATACTATTGCAACTATGATTCTGTAAATTTTTATTAATCAAAAGACACCTCCCTTAGCGTTCTATCATTAACTTGCCCACAGAAGTACATATGCTTGCAAACTATGACATGTTAGTCACCTGGCTCAAAGCACGACTGGAAAGCACTGAGCCACTATGGTGATGAGTGTGGGATAAGAACCTCTATAGAACTGAAGACAATGAACGAAAAACTAATCAATGTGCTTTATGCAGTAGTCACCTAAATATGCCACAAACTGCTTCTTGTCATCCTTGGAAATGGGTTATTTGGCAAAGATGACATTGATACTGCAGAGAAGAATACCAAATTAATTTAGTTGTAGCTAATGCTGTGGCCATCTAGAATAAAGTAATATCTATGGCAATCACTTCTGTTGCCAAGATTCTTGAGGCACTGTGGACTATATATGCTCACATGGTTTACCTGAAGAAATTGCTTCAGGCAGTGGTCTTCAGTTACTGAAGGATTTCAGATTTTCCTCAAAAGAAATTTTGCATCACACAGTAGGTAAACTGCTTATCATTCTGCATCAAATGAGTTGGCAGAATGCTTTGTGAAGACACTTTAAATGACACTAGAGAAAAATGAGGGAAGAAGCCTGCAATGTTGTTTTGGGAACTTTCTTTTGTCATACAACCGTACACCACAGACCTTCACATATAAACAAACTTGAAGAGCTGGGAGTGAAAGAAGCTGTAAAGTCATACAATATTCTCTCTGAGACATCCTAACATTGCACGCTGATGCTGTGTCATCTACGCTGATGGAGAATGGTAAGAGAAACATCACTAAGCCATGTCAGGATGTCACGTCATGATAACTGGATCAAATCATTTGACACAGTAACCTCTCTCGTCTCCATTACTATTCTACTGGTGGCTGAATGGGGTCCCATCAACTCTGATACATTGCTTCATGCTTCCGCCTCCAGCCTCATGTGCCAGGAAGTGCAAAGAGTGCTACTCTGATTGGAACTCCACCCACTGAGTCTGAGAATAGGTTGAGCAAGAGGTGCTCTGTGAACTCTACAAGAGTCCCCCAGGAATTCAATGCATCTCTAATGCTACAAGTTGAATAGCGCTGTATGAAAATAAGGGGAAAAGGTGTCACTCTTTTTCCTGTCATTATTCAGCAGATCTTGAGCTTTTCTGCGCAAGTGTTTTTACTATTTTAAATCCTAAATATACCTTATGTGGCAGCATGTTTCATTTTCATCACCATTTTTTGAGGCTGCTGCCATCAGAACACCAACCTAAGAGAAAATAAACTCGTTATATGTGAAATTCTTATACTTGTAATGATTATTTTGTGCACACTATTCCTGTTAGCTATTTTCAAAATGTAAGTGCATATCTTTCTTTGAATAACGTCTTGAATTTTCATTACAATCACGGTAAAACACTGCCCTTGAGATCCAGGCATTTTGGGTGTTACTGTATAATGATGGTGGAAAGGCACCTTTCTCTGAAGCAGCCAGTGCTGGTCACTGTCAGAGACACATATTGAACTTGATGGACCACTGGTCTGAACCAATATGGCAATTCCCATGTTTGGGCCCAGCTATGCTGCTGTGTAGTGTGCTATCAAAGTGAACCAAAAGGATGTGTTCTGCTGAGATTTTGGAAAAGTCCAGAACACAAGAGATAAGCTTGAGAACCTTGATGCTTTCATTTTTTCACACGAGGGTTGTGTCATCTTCATGCATGCTGCCCACAATGTGAGCCTGGTTTGCTTCCATAGTGTGTATACAAGGGTCTAAATTATGTTTCAGCATGTTCTTTGTACTTACTTACCCACAAACGGGACCTCTGCATGTGATCTGGAAATAGACGCCCAATTCTGCAGTGCATTTAGCAAGTGGTTTCATGTCTTTGAAAGGAATTTCTGGAGACACGTCATGTGGAATCCCTCTGAGGGATGATACTGGTGCATGGCAAAAGCGATCATAGATGCGGAAGACACTGCACTATTGATAACTGCTGCTGGGACAACACTGATGCAATGAGGCTTTGGCTCTTCATAAATCTTTTCCAGTGTGGTAAAGTTCTGGCTACAGCCATGCCTTTTGCAGCCTGTGGGTGGGCAATTCCCTATGCTGGGCTGAAAAAGTTCTTGGCTTTTGGTAATAACCAGTGGGTTGGAAGCATTTCTGGCATTTGGCAAGTTGTAAGTGGGTCTGCTTCTCTGGGCTTGGCTCTGATTGGGATGTTGTCCATGAATGAGTGTGTGTGTAACTTATAGATTCACAGATTCCAAGGACAGAAGGGATCATTGTGATCACCGAGTCTGATCTCCTATATATCACAGGCCAAAATAATTCCTAGAGCAGGTCTTTGGATATTTAAAAGTTGTCAGTGATAGAGAATCCAACACAACCCTTGGTAAATTGCTTCATTGGTTAATTACTCTTTCTGTTCAAAATGTACACCTAATTTCCAGTCTGACTTTGTTTAGCTGCAACTTCCAGCCATTGGATCATGTTATACCCTTCTCTGCTAGATTGAAGAGCTCATTATTAAATATTTGTTCCTCATGTAGGTATCTACAGACTGTCATCAAGTCACCCCTTAATCTTCTCTTTTTTAAGATAAATAAATTGAGTTCCTTGAGTCTATCGATATAAAGTGTCTCCTTCCCACTGAATCTCTCCCTTTTTTAAATCAAAAAATCACTGGGCAGATACAAACCTAAAGCCTCAAAAGCAGTCAGATTGAGCTAGTTCTTTCAACTGTGTGATGGTGGTGTTTTTTAAAAAGTCATCAATGTTTTAAAATAGTATTTCCTAAACTGTAGTCCAGTGTGTTAAATGCCCCACCAGCCAGGCTAAGAGGGACTTTAGTGGAGCTGTAGCAGGGATCTGCCTAAGTCAGTTCATGATTGTTCATGTGAAATATCATCCATAAATATAGGTTTTGCTTTTAGAGAGGAAAACATGCAGCTGAAAGGGCCTCTGAAGGAAGAAAAACACCCTCTGGTTCAGGTGTAATTAAGATTTGTAAAATATAAGACACTGTAATTCACAGTATCAAACTAATAACCATGCATCTTATTCACATAGTTGGAGTCTTGAAGTAGAGAATATCTTCTGTATATTTTACACTGATCACCCTACCTAAATGATTAGTGAAAATTGGTGTAGGCTAGGTAATTAAATTAACCATGTATAAAATGAAAACATGTCAGTTTGTATCATGGAGTAGTGGAGACAGAACAGTCATGATAATAAACCAAATGAATTTCATTTCCCACATATTTATTCCAAGCCCTTTCATGCCTTGGTCTGCATACCACTGTATTTCACGATAACTTTATATAGTTTGGAGATTAACTTTTTAGAAGGTACATTATCGTGATGGTTCTCGGATACCCAGGACTGAGAGTCACCTTATTCACAGATTCCAAGCCCATAAGGAATCACTGTGATCATCTAGTTTAACCTCTGGTATAACACAGGCCATGGAACTTCCCCAAAATAATTCCTAGAGCAGATTTTTTTTTTTTTTTAGCTAAACACCCAGTCTTGATTTAAGTATTGTCAGTGCTGGAGAATCTACCACAACCCTTGGCAAATTGTTCCAATGGTTAATTACCCTCCCTGTGAAAAATGTACATCTTATTTCCAGTCTGAATTTATGTAGCAGCAACTTCCAGCCATTGGATCTTTTTTACTTTTCTCTGCCAGACTGAAGAGCCTATTATTAAGTATTTGTCCCCTACGTAGATACTTATAAACTGTAATCAAGTTGTCCCTTAACCTCTTTGTTAAACTAAATAGATTGAGCTCTTTGAGTCTATCACTATAAGGCATGTTTTCTAATTCATTAATTGTTCTCTTATCCTTTAATCCTCTAAAACTTGCAATCTGAGCCTCGCTAAAACCACTGCAAGCCATTTAAGGTTGAGTTCAGAATGCAGACTGAATGGGAGGCTCTTTTACAGAAAGTGGAAGTTCCCATACATAAACGTGCATGCTAAGGATTTTGTGTTTCAGGATAAAATTCTATCTAGGTGTTTTTCCGAGCTTCTGCTCCAGTTTACTCCCTCTGGAGGGGCAGAGTCTCTTCTTAAATGGCTTTGGTGTTGGTAGGGGCTAAGGGATTTGCTACGCTGGATTTGAGAAATGAGAGGTGACTTTGACCTGCATTCTCAGCTATTTTCCCTCATGTTTCCCCAAACAGGGTCACCTATAAATTTGTAAGCCAAGGGTTTCTCTTTGCAATGACTACTAATCAAGGATGTAAACACGGCTTCCTTGTTAGGTGCCATTAGTCTTTTCACAAATCACATCAATTCCCAAAAAAGATTGCCAAGAATCAGTATTTTACACAGTGCTGCAAGGATTTGCCAGAATCTGAATCCCAGACTTCTCACACTCACAGTAAGAATCATACCCCTAGACAAACAAGCCACTTAGTAGTTTTTCCTTACGAATTACAAGGAATCGTTTTGATTTGAATGATCAAAGCTGAGCTTTCAAATTTCTGCTTAGAGTATCTTCTCTCTCATGGTTTGTGGGAACTTTTGGAAGGAAGTCCCATTCTGAAAAGACAACAATGCCTTGCACCTGTGGAACTACTACTGCACTGGGCTTAGGTCTTCTTCCTTGTCTAATTCTCATCACCTGTGAAATTTCCTTGTGTTTATGTAACAGTTTAGTTTCACCCAGAAGTCCCCATTCAGATTCGATGATGTCCTCAAAAAAGGGGAGTATGGGATTTTTTACACTACTTGCTCATTAACAATTTACAAATCCTATGGGGCACTGGTTTGTCTTTTGGGGACCTGGAGTCTCTGGAGTTTACAAGACTTGCCCCAGAGCAGGTTGTTTGGGGTTCTCCTTCCCGGAAAAATCATATTGTTCCTGCTTGAACCTTCCCACAGCAGAGTTCCCCTGCAGGAAGCTGCAACCAGGCCCTGACTTGCCAGTCTAATTCAAACCCCTGTGCCCTGGCAGGGTAAGGATCAGCTGGTTGGCCACAGCAAGGCATTGCTCACCCTATGAAGCTCCTAAAAAGCTTGCCTTATAAATACAGCAGCTCCTGGACATGGCTTGATGCTTGCAGGGTTTCTCTGCTGTTGTGGGGAGGGGTAGAAGGCAGAGGAAGATGATTATAGAGATGCAGAACCGGAGAGGTCCCTCCGGCCTCGATGCTCAGTGACTCCCCAGCAGAAGAGGGGGAAAAGAGTTGGAAGATAAAGTGAGATCTCTACTGCACAAACAACAAATACATATTACCATTCTAGAAGATGAACCACCAACTTGTACCACTACTGGAGGCAGAATTTCTGGGGGAATGGGGGTTAGAATTGCAGCTCCCAGCAACAATTGATTGCTTTCCAATTCTACAACAGACACACACAGCCCATTCATTAAGAATAAAGTAGCAGCTGAACAGCAAACATAAGATACAGCTACTGTCTATCAAAGGTAGAGAGCAAGTGTGAGAAGTTGAGGGCAGAACTAGGCCACAACAGACTGACCTACAGTATAACAATGGTGCTGCAAACTTCCTTCGGGGTTTATAGGTCCCAACGTATTTTGCATCCGAAGAAGTGGGTATTCACCCACGAAAGCTCATGCTCCAATACGTCTGTTAGTCTATAAGGTGCCACAGGACTCTTTGCTGCTTTAACGTATTTTTAAAGATTTGATTTAAAGTATGCTATTAATAGGCAGCTAGAGGTTTACAGACATAAGGTGGTACAGAAATACACTTTTTGATGATTTATTGTTCACATTCAGATTTTCCACAGGTCTTAATGCAAGAGAAATATGAACACTGATATAAATATTAAAAAGTACTTTAGACACACAAAACAATAGTTGGATACCATTAAAATTAAAAGGATAATTTTTTTTAAATGGTATAAGAATGACTGAAGGATTTGAAAACATGCCTTATAGTGACAGACTCAAAAACACAATGTATTTTGCCTTCCAAAGAAAAGAGAGCATTCTATAAATGGCAATCAAGGAGCTTAGCGGATCCTCCCCACTTCCAGTGACACTAGGAAAGCAGGCATGTGAGATGCACTAGGCGTGGGATTTGTTTGCAGTTGAGGCTGGAAAGAAAGCTCGGGTGTTTATTTTGGTTTGTGCTCTAGTTTTTGAACTCTTGACTTTGCCAAGGCAGGGGATCATCATATTGGACTCTGTGCTTTGAGAGAGTCCTCAGGCAGCCTTCTAGCAGGCTGATGCTGATACAGCATTCTACAAGTGGGAAATTCAGATTTTTTAAAACGGACTCTCCCTTATCTAGTAAAAAAACATTTTATTTTGAGGGTGAAAGAAAAACAGCATTAGAGATGTATTAGCCCTAAAACACTGTTACAAACTAATGCCATTTCCTCATTGGTCAAAGACAGAACTGTCAGTTCTTTAAGATCAATTTAAGCCTTGGGAATAATATAGATGAGAGCGTTTACTTTTTTGCTCTAAATTCAAACTCAGAATCATTCATCTCCACAAAGCACAATCTGATGCACACCTCTGCCCTTAACTCAGTATCCGTATGTAACTAGCACTACAATTCTGTTTTAAAGATAAAGCATTTTGAAGTATTAAGGAATTATCTTACCTTTTGTTTTTTGCAGCTGGAAGGAGGAGAGCTTTCTGTATATTCAGGAGTGTCTCCATGTGAGGACACAAAACTAGGTCTTTTTTTCTGGGACTGAGAGCTAGCTTCGATGACATACCCTGGAGCTTGAGTTTCACAGACACTTTTTTTAGTTTTAGTCATGTCTCCCTTTCTTTTCAACTGGCAGGTCTTTCTCCAATTATTTAGCATCTGATATATCAGAAGAGAGAGGACTGATTTACCTTTTTTGGCACAAGCAAACTTCATATGCTCAATAGTTTTCATGATTTTCATAATATGAGCCATTTTTCCTAAATCTTTCCTAGCAGCCAACATTAAATTTTCAAGCAACAAAGAAAACTGGTTGTAGTTGTAGTCTAATTCAGTCACAGTGCTCCCATAGTTTACAGATATGGTATAAGGTACACACTCAACATACGTGAAGATAGAAGGCTTGGAATTTTGTATTAATTTTCTTGTTTCTGAAAGTTCTGAAAGTTCTCTGGTGAGAAGGTGAAGTGCATAAGAGCAGTTTATGGTTTCTGCATAGTTGCAAATAATGTCCAGCTCACTCTTAAGATCAGAGATGGCAGACTCTACAGTTTTACAAAGGTTGTCCATTGAATTATCTTTCAGAAATGAAAAGGAAGACATTTTCTTTTGGCAATGTGCCAATTCAGGAAGAAGCGATAAATCAAACCACAACAAGCTTCGAAATCTCTGTTCATCTGTTTTTCTTGCTATTGAATTTTTAAGGAAGTAAACTGTTTCATACATCATTAGTACTTCAATGTAAGTCTCAACAGCTTCAGGCTTTAAAATTACAGCATTAATGCCATCATTTTTCATTGTGTCTAACACATTTTGCTCTGTGATCAAGATTTTACTGACATCCTCCTCCTGCAAAATCTGAAAATACATTTTTAAGCTTTCTAAATGTTCTGTACATCTGAGCATTAGCTGCTGTAACTTCTTGAGGTCTGCAAACTGAGCTTCATCTAATATTTCTCCAACACAGCAAATATCAGGATGTGAAAGCAAAATAGTGAAGAAGTCAGAGTTTTCATCTCCATGTTTGCCTTTGTTTTCACAATATTTTGACTTTTCTGTATCATTTTTGTTCTCAGTAATATTGTTAGATTTTTCAGTTCTAAACTCTTCAGCCACATATTCATAAACTTCATACAGCTTGGAGAGAGCATCTTGGTTTATTTTGCACAGAAGTTGTTTTTTCTTATTGGGAGAGGCTTTATTTAACAACAGACGTCTGTCTTTCCAAACAAGACTTTTAGCAGCATCAAAAAATATATGCTCAAGGCCAAAGAGTGATGCTTTCATATTCATTGATTCACAGGCCTTTATAAAGTTTATCTTTGTAGAGATAATTTCCATTATAACCCACAGATGGTCCTCTTTTTCTGCATAGGCGTGAGCATCTGGAAGGTTCCTATACGTATTTATCAGTTCCACAGCACTTTTCCTTACAGTTTCCAAATCTTCTAAAGTATCTCCAAAGTTAACTCCACAAGTGAAAGGCACAGAGAGGAAAAAATCTAAGCAATCAGAATTATGTTGTATCACAGCTTCACTCTCATCAATCTCTCGTCTGAATTTCAAGAATGCATAGTAAGATTTGCTTTCCCACCTTGTTTTTTCAAAGAGCTCTAATAACTGTTTATGGTAGCTCTGTAGCTCACGAAAAACATTGTACTTCAGCCTTCTTTGGAAAGCTGGAAAGAAACTGGATTGTTGTTGATACCCTGACGGTCTGCCAAGCAGTTCCCCGTACAGTGAACCATCATACCAAAGCAAGCTTCGAAAAGTTGGCTCCCTTTCTAGAAAGCACTTTTTGTTTTCAATGAACTGAATTGTTTCCATTATCATTTGGAGTTCCACCAGTGAATCTACAGCATGTGATTTTAATTTGGATTTACAGTTATTCCATAGCTTTCTTTCAACCAGTAACTCTCGGGAAACCAAGATGTGCTTAAATGAGCACCCTTGCTTTTCTTCAAAAGCTTTAACAAATGAAGGAAGAAGGTTATCACAAACTGTAATCTGTTCCTGTAATATTTTCAGAGATGATGTTTCATCTGCTTTTTGTAAAATATTTGATATTTCAGTTATGAAAGCAAGAGATTTCAGTTCCGTCCCCACTGCTCTATGCTTGTTTTTACTATTGATGCCCTTACGTTTGTTAGGATGATCACCGAAGAGATTATCTGCATTCAGTTTAGTCACATGGGCTGTAAGATTCTGATGTGTTTTGCTTGGTGAGGCATCGTAAGTCCCAGTAATGCTTCGAATACCTTGTTTTGCCATGATTCCTGATTTCAACTCTGAGTTAATCTGGCGATCTTTGTTAGTGCTTTCTTTCCAATCTTCATTTCTTTTGACAAATTTCTTATCAATTGGCTTCCTTAAGACAGGTGCAGTGAAAGCACTGCTGTTGTTTGAAGAACTCTGAATGCATCTGTATTCCTTATTACAGCTAGAGTGACCTTCTCTGTGTGTTATACTCTTTTGTTCCAAAACGACCTTAGCAGAGGATCTCCCAGGTACATCTTTTACCAGATACAGATTTACAGGTGATTTCACTTTGCTTTCCACTAGCCCCGTTTCCTTTATTTTTGGAAATGTATTCTGTCCAACTTCCTGCGAAATGTACTGATTTGAAAATGGGGCCAGAGCATTGTATACTAAGGACATAGAAGATACATTCTTTAAATAGTTCTCTATCTCTATATTATTTTCTCTCTCATATAAAATTTTTGCCAGTGGTTCCAATTTGATAGTCTCGGTAACATGTGTCTCCTTTTCAGCTACTTTACTGTAATTACTCAGACAACGCATTTCTGAATTTGAAGTTTCTTTTCTGTCATAGCCTCTATCTTGCAGCTGGCCACTGAGAGGTACTGTTGGTGTTTCAAAAGAATGGGTCTCTAAAATTCTCTCAGATGAAATGTTTGAGCTCATTTTCAAAGATGCAGCTTTAGCACGAATAATTTCGTGGTCTAATGGAACTTGAGATACACTGGTCTCATGTTTTCCTCCTGCTGCAGGCATCTGCCTCATTGAGCCTGAAGAAAAGTTTCCAATACCAACACTCTGATTTGTGGAAATACCCCCACTGCCAGCAGAAAACATAGTCTCTTTTTCAGTAGAAAGAATACTGTCCAGGTTTTTGTGAGTAGCAGAGAGTGTGGAAACATCTTGCTTGTTGGTGTTTGCATTTGAACAGCTCTCTGCAGCTGTTTTTAATAGTGACGTATGTATGACAGCATTCATCTTTACATTAGTCTTACAAGCTCCATCTTTTCTTTTGTCTGTACAAAATCCTACAGAATCATCCCTTTCGACAGGCAAGCTCAAAGGTTTTGAGATATTTTTGTTGGTAAATGTATTTGCTTCAGGGATATGGTCTTGTCTTGTTACACTGCCACATCGTCCAGCAGTCCCTTGAACATGAATTTTAGATAAAACATTTACAAAAACCTTGTGTTCCTTATTAGTTCGTTTCATATCTTCTAGCCCAATGGCATCTAAACCTACAGAGTTTTCAGAGACTGTTTGAAGTTCCGTTATTCTTCTCGTATCTCTCACACTGTCACCCTCAAAAGCCAAATATGCCTTGCATGTAGCAGCTGAAAACTGACTACAAGTTACTGAAGAAGCCACAGTTAAGTCAGATTTGCAATGATGTATCTGACTTATAATATCTTTCAACACAACAGGTGCACAACCTGTAGTGGACCTTGCGTCCATGTCTTCCTCTGAAACCATTTCTCTCATTTTATCCCCTTTATTTTTAAACCTTTGTTTTATTGGCATACATGTAACTGTGTCACTTGCTTTCTTAAATGCTACAGTTCGTTTATTTCCCTTTATGTTACACTTTCTTTTCTGAGAAAAGTGAGCAGAAGAATACTTCCCAGTTGTCAAGGAACTATGACCTTCAAGATCACAGCTTTCCCATAAGTCGTTACATATTATTTCATAACATTTTGGTAAGCGACCCTTTTGTCTTTTCTCTCCAACTTTAGTTACAATTTTTAAAGATTTGAGAACTCTCCTCTGAGCTTTCCTTAAGTGAAACATAGCACCATCTATTTTTTTGGATAGACGCTTACTTTTGCATAAGGATGCTTCACTACAAAGAGTATTTAGAACATTTTTAATGTGTTTTTCAGACTGTGCAAGTGTTTTCATTCGTCCCTCAAATAATAAAGAAAACATTTCAGATGAATAGTGTTCTTTCTTTTTACCACAAAGTTTTGAGTTTCTGTATATAGGTGAGCGTGTTGAAGCTTTCTGAGGCCTCATTTTATTTGTTAGAGATTTATTATATGGATGTTTTCTCTTAACTTTTGATTGCACACCTTTTTTACTCTTAGATTCATTACTATTATCTTTTGGTTTTGTACCGTAAAAGCTACTTCCTTTATTCAATACATCAGAAACAGTAACAGGTGCAGTGAAAGTTTTGCTTTCTTTTTCAGGCATATGACTATCTGCCTCATGAACACAGATAGGTAGGCATGTTTCCATTTTATTTGTAGGATCCAAATTCTGCATATATTCTTCACTTCTTTGCTCTCCTGACAATTCCATATTGACTTCTAATCCTGGAGATTCAATTGCACATCTCCACATCTCTCTTGCAATTCCAATGTTGAGGGGGCTGACTCCTGGTTTAAGTATGTTGGTTATTGTAATTTGTAAGTCAGGCCACACAGTTGTACTTAGAGATTCTGTTTTATCTTCCTTTGTGCAAGATTTTCCCCCCAATGAACAATGATCTTCACTTTTCTCTAATATCTTCTGGCTAGTGTTTCCAAACAAACTTTCCCAGTCTATACGATCTGTCAAGTACTGATACAGTGAATCAACCTCCTCATCAGATCCACCTTCATGACTATGTGGATTTTGTGGTACTGAGAGAGATTCCTCATGCTGCTCCAGAGGAATTTCAATCTCACTTTCAAATTCCAAGCCCTGGAGAAAAACATCCTCACATTTCTCCTCTATCATCTGTTTAAATATTTCCTGCACACTATTTTCATGGCAAGAGGAGTTTTTCTCAGAAATATAGGTTTCCTCAGGTTGGGAACATCCTCTTTCTTTGTGTTCCACATTTCCAGAAGGTATGGATATGGTGGTGATTAGCAGAACAGCATTCTGCTCTTCCCATTTATGAGCCTCTGGCAGTGCTGCAGGTCTGCAAAACTCTGCTGTGGCAGACAGCTCTTCTGAGTCTCTTTTGTTATCTGGAATAATTCCCTTTTCCTTTATAAAGGTGGCAATATTTTCTGTTTCCATCAAATATGCTTCGGTTAATGCACATCCTTCTTCAAAAATTAAGTTTAAATCAGAAGCTGATCTTTTTAAATCCAGAAGATGAGGAGTGTCACAAACTTCCATCCAGATTCCTGGGACATTGCTAAATTCTTTTTCAAGTTGGCATGTATGCATTTGGTTGAAGTCATGAACATTTATATCGGTCCCCATTTCCTGATTACAGATCCAACTCTGCTCTTCATCTAAAAATGCAGCTCCAGAAGCATCACTCTCTTTGCTGTCCCTACAGAAATGTTTGTCTAATGACACTGGCTCATTTTCTCTACGGAAACATAAGCATTCTTTATTGAAGCAATCTCTCAATACTTTGTCCGTTCTGCAGATAGCATGAGACAAATATATCTGGTCATTCATTGTTTCTTTGATGGAAGAATTGCCTTTTACTTCTTTTGTAGCATCTTCTCTTTTACCTATGCAATTTTTGTTTGTAATTTCAGTTGCTGAATATATTAATTTATGGGCCTTTATAGGGCCTTCATCAACATTGGCTTTGTCAGAAAGCAAAGTGTCTTGAAGCTTACTTTGGTGAAAGGTTTCTTCACCAACGATTTGATCACTAGGAATAGATTCACAAGCAACGTGATGACAGACACACTTGTCCTCTTCCACTTTGGCATATTGTTTTCTCATATCATGTTTTAAAAGATGCATTCTTCCATGGACACCAATGTGTAAAGTATGATCTTGTGTATCAAAACCCTCACTATTAACTTCATAGTCTCTGTTTGAGGTCAAAGTATTTTCAGCACAGGTTAAGTAAGAATCTGTTGACCTGTTTCCTATTTCAGAAGTATAATTATTTTCTTGGAACTGGTTATGCATTTTCCCATTATATTCGGTCTTGCCTTCATGAGATTTAATACTTTCAGGATGTTGGATGCCTATGTTCATGCCTTTATCATCATGCAAAGACTGTTCAGGAGTATGTCTTTGATTATCCTCAAGTACTGTTAAATTAATAGATTGTGATTCCTGACATTTCTGCCCTCCTTTCACTGAGGCATATTTATCCCTGTTAGAATAGTTCGGTTGTGCTGAACCCTGCCCTTTATCATGTTTCTTAAGTGAGTAAAGACCATTACACACTTGATGGGAAATCTCAGATTTTTTATTTGCATTATTTTTGTTCTGTGCTACTGACATTTTGCCCCGCCTCCACGCATGAGACAGAGATGAGTGTGGCCTTTGTTCTTCTCTTTTTTCGAGGTCCTCTGCAGGTACTTTCTTTGAATTTTTGTTTTGACAATCTGCAGAGAAGGAAGAGAAAATATTCCCTACCACTGATGGCATATGGGGATTGGAACCCTTTTGAGATCTGGAATACAGACAGCTGCTTGAATCTGCAATGCTGTGAGGCATGGCTTCGGAGTGTGTGTTGCAGGCAAAGTTAGCAGGTAGCACTGATGAAACTGACTTTCCCATTGACACAGACTGGCACTTTTGATCAGGAGGAGGATCATTATGCCTTGACTTTTTAGTGAAACTTAAGTTCTTTTTGCTATCATGAACAGGTAAATGCTTTATATTGTTCTTATGAAGATTGGAACTTTTTTCTATGTAGCAGTGGTCTGCTTTGTTTTTCATGGACAAATTCTCCTGCAAGTTTATCTCAGGTTTTGTGTCCCCAAATGGAAAAGATGAACATTTCCTCAGTTGTTCTCCCATTGTAATCTGGGGTGTTTTCAAGTCTTTTCTATCACAGATATGGTTCTCATTTGCTGTGATATGCTTTTCTTCAATGACGGTTTTTGAAGCAGGATGTGTGTGAACATCCTGCAATGCAAATGGCTCCACTATTCCTTTAGGAAGTTTTGTTATGCTGCCAGCCACTTGCTTGTTTTCCACAGCGTGTTCTTTGTCTGCATTTAGTGTTGATTTAAACTCTTTTATGAAAGCTGCCTCTTTCCGTGATGCTTGCTCCACATGTCTCTGTCTAAGTTGACCACGTTTTGGGTCATTAAGCAGAGGAGGTTCTTCAGGCGAAGGTATATTTAAAGTGGCTGATATTTTCATTTCTGAGTTGAGATAGTCCGGCCCATTCTCAGGTGTTGAATTCCCATGAAAAACTGCCTCAGTGTTTTGTTTTCCTGGGTTTCCTTCTCTTTTCTTTAGTCTTGGATCCATAATGAGTCTTGACATAATTACAGAACTTGAGCCACTACTACTGTAGGCAGCAGAAACTGTGGTAAAATCATCATTTGAAATAATGCATTTTAGATTCACCATGTGGTCATTACTAATGCTTCCATTGGTATCTACAGCAGCCACAAGTGGAAGACTTGACTCATTTTCTTGCACTGGTGATGAATCCCACCTTCCATGTATGTTATGTTCCACTTGGGTATCATGGGCTCTGGCTACTGTACAGTTTTTCCATGAGCCTCGTCTTCCTGTGAAAGCAAGAAGAGAAAAGTGACAATACTCCAGAGCTAAGGCTGCAAGAACAATTTTGACCCATTTCTAACTTAAGAAAAGCCCAACCACTTTTAATCTGAATTTTTTTCATGTTCTGCCTAAAGCACAGGAGAATTCAAAATGGTTGTCAGTGAAGGGGATGGCTTTTTAACACCTACATAAAGACATGCCTTTTCTCATCCAGGCCCTTGTCATTTTGCATCTTTATTACTGCAACATTCTTTCCTTTGGCCTTGATACAAGCTTCGCTTTTATCCACTCAAAACACTGCTGTGCAAAGATCATTTCCCTTGTTCCTCGTTTTGATCATGTCAACACTTTTTTTGCATCCCTCCGTTGGCACCTTCTTTTCCATCACATCAAACACAAATTCCCTGTCTTCACTTCATGGCCCTTCATGGCCTACCCCCACTTTACTTCCCTCTTATCTGCTATCAGTGTATCCACTAACATCTCTTCTCTGCCAGTGATACTAGCCTCCATTACCCACTTGTTACATTTAAAACAAGCACCTTTGTGCTTTCTTCTGTTCTGCCAATCACACATGAGAGGAGCCCCCCATAAACACAGAATCACAGAAATGCAGAGCTGGAAGGGACCTTGAGAAGTCTTCCTGTCCAGCCCCATGTACTGGGACAGAACCAACTATACTTAATATTATTCCTGACAGGCGATTGTCTAAGCTGTTCTTTAAAACCTCCAAAGAGGGGGATTCAACAAACTCCCTTGGAAGTCCGCTCCAGAACTTAATTACCCGTAAAGTTAGAAGTTTCCTAACATTTAACCTAAATCTTCCTTGCTGCAGACTAAGCCCATTACTTTTTGTCCTACCTTCAGTGGATGTGGAGAACAATTGATCACAGTCCTCTTTATAACAGTCCTTAACACATTTGAAGACTTATCAGGTCCCCTCCTCAGCCTTCTTTTCTCAAGACAAACATGCCCAGTTTTTTAACCTTTCCTCATAGATCAGGTTTTCTAAACCTTTTATCATTTTTGTTGTTCTCCTCTGGACTTCCCCCAGTTTGTCCACCTCTTTCTTAAAGTGCGGTGCCCAAAATTGGACACAGTACTCTACCTGAGGCCTCACCAGTGCTGAGCAGAGCAGGACAATCACCTCCCATATCATACATATTTGTTAATACATCCAGAATGTCCGCCTTTTTTGCAACTGCATCACATTGTTGGCTCATATTCAATTTGTGATCCATGATAACCCCCAGATCCTTTTCAGCAGTACTACTGCCTTACCAGTTATTCCCCATTTTATATTTGTACACTGCTTCCCAGGATAGAGTCCCCCGACTCAGCATGCAAGAATGGCCTACATTATTTGTTCCTAGATGTATACACTGACATTTAGCCATATTAAAATGTATATATCATTTGCTTTGCACCCTGTTTACCAAGTGATCCAGATCGCACTGTGTCAGTGACCTTTCCTCTTCATTATTAACCACTCCCACAATTTTTGGGCCATCTGCAAACTTATCAGTGATGATTTTATGTTTTCTCCCAGGTCACTGATAAAAATGTTAAACAGTATAAGATCAAGAACCAATCAGTGTGGGACCCCACAAGAAACTCGCACATTTCACGATGATTCCCCATTCACAATTACATTTTGTGACCTATCAGTTAGCCAGGTTTTAATCCATTTGATGTGTGCCATATTCATTTTATATCTTTCTACTTTTTTAATCAAAATGTCATGTGGTACCAAGTCAAATGTCTTACAGAAGTCAAGTATAATTACATCAACACTATTACCTTTATCAACAAATTTATAATCTCATTCCCCCCCCCCAAAAAAAGATATCACATTAGTTTGACACAATCTATTTTCCATAAACACATGTTGATTGTGAAATCTCTATTATCCTCCTTTAATTCTCTATTAATCAAGTCCTATATCAGCCACTCCATTATCTTGCCCAGAATTCATGTCAGACTGACAAGTCTATGATTGCCTACGTCATTCCATTTACCCTTCCATTTTAAACATTGGCATAACATTCGCTTTCTTTTGGTCTTCTGGAATTTCACCAGTGTTCCAAAACTTATTGAAAATCAACATTAATGGTCCAGCAAACTCCTCATTCAGCTCTTTTATAAAGCTTAGATGCAAGTTATCTGCAGCGGCTGATTTAAAAATGTTTAACTTTAGTAGCTACTGTTTAACATCCTTCAGGAGATTTTTTGAGGGAGACTCATTGAACAAACTGCAACTCAGTTTAAGATACCACGGGTTACAAGCGGATGGAAGCTAGTTCTGTACATTCACACTTTCCTCTCCTGTTTTATATCTCTTTATACAATATCACTGATATTGGGGCAAAAGGCACCGCAGCACATGCCACTGAAAACAGCCTTACTGCATCTCTCCGCCTCAGTGATGCACCATCAAATCTCATCTGAAAACCTCTCTTTTCTCCTGTTCCTCTAGTAACCCAATTTCTCTCGCTCTGTTTATTAACTCTACACATTATTTAACTCTGCAGGGCATTCTGGAATATAGTTTGTATGAAAGAAGCTACACAAAATACAAATCCTACTGGATAATGCTTATCTTGTTCTCATATCCAGAACCGCGGTCCAGAGTTACTCCTCTTATTACTCTTTAAAGTAGATTCAGAGTTTTCTGTATATGACAGTCACCTGACTCAGCAAAAAACAGTCCAACCTGCCAAATCACAGAAAAAAACCTCTCTGTTTTGCAACATGTCAGATAGCATTTCTGCTTCCGCTTCTATCTACAGCCAAACATTTCTTACTGGGGCCAAAGCAAAATTGTTGAGCTGAACAGAGGGGCACTACTAAGGAAGATAAAACTGTTAAGATTGTAAAATGACCTAACAAATGTGAAAAAGCATAAAGTGAACAACATTAACACAATATGGTGCACACTCAAACTGATTTCAGAGGAGTATTAAGTACATCAGCAATTTTAAAACTTAACTTTTTTCTTTCTATCTGCGAAGGACAGACTAACCACAGGTCACAGATTACACCTACTCATAGTGATGCTCCAGAAGGCCCTGCTCTGACAGGGACATACGTATCATCAGTGGAGAGCACTGGAGAAGGAGTTCCCTACAGAAATATGGTAGTCCCCAGATTAAAAAAACTTTGATAATATTCTTACTTTGTGTTCCATAAAGCATGTGGTTCTCAACGAGGGGTACGTGTACCCCTGAGGGAATGCAAAGGTCTTCCAGGGGGCACATAAACTCATCTAGATATTTGCCTAGATTTACAGCAGGCTACATAAAAAGCACTAGCGAAGTCAGTACAAACTGAAATTTCATACCAGGACTTGTTTAGACTGCTCTATATACTATGCACTGAAATGTAAGTACACACTATTTATATTCCAACTGATTTATTTTATAATTATATGGTAAGAGTGAGAAAGTCAGCAATGTGTCAGTAATAGCGCGCTGTGACACTTGTTTTTTTATGTCTGATTTTGTAAGCATGTAGTTTTAAGCGAGTGGAAACTTGGGGTACGCAAGACAAATCCGACTCCTGAAAGGGGCACAATAGTCTGGAAAGATTGAGAGCTACTGCCATAAAGGTATCAAATAAGAGTATTAAAAATTGAAAGGAATACAATGGGCCCAATTCCCACTTACATCCATTAAATAACATTGTAATTCTATTGACTTTAATGGGGCTACTCCTGATTTACACGTATATGTATGTTATTTAAGAACCAAATCCAAGCTATTAACCACATACATTTTGATACCTTTATCCCTGCAGGTTGCTCTGGCCTCCAGTACTCTTCAAGAGTCGGTATGTCCGCACCATTAGCCCAGAGCGTCCTGCTGCAGCCAGTCCCCAGAGCACCACGAGACAATGGGAACACATCCCGACTCCCTGCATGCCGCAATGGCTCCCTGTCAATTGCTAGATCTAAATCAAAACCCTGAGCTTTAAGGGTTTGGGAAGCTGCCTCTCCCTGGGATCGCTTCGCTCTCTCCATTACAATGACCTGGTTGCACTCAACTGGACCACTGGAGTTATTAGCGATAAGCTTGGTATGTGGAAGCGGGGGTCAGAGACAACTGAGCAGCCAGCCCATTGTGGTAGAACTCCCACCAGACGTAGACTGACAACGGATCGCATCACATTTAGATCAAGATGTAAGACTCATCTTTTTGACAGGGTTTTTCCCAATACAAAACCAGGAGCAGTTTGCTAGGGACAGAAATGAAATTACAAAAATGAAAGAAGAACGATTTAAAAATAGCTTGAGGTAATAGAAGTGCACCCCAACAGCTTTTCCAAGAAAGGGAGGCAGAATGCAGCCCTGTGGACTACTTGTTCACATATGTAATTTTTGTCTGCATTAAGGTACCACTAAAGAGGTGCATTGCAGATAGAGATCACAATTAGCAGGAGCTAGGAATCTGTGGTGAGTCTGCATCTAATAATCCTGCAGAAAGAAAATGGGCAAATTTATGTTAACATATTGAATGTCCCTCTTACTGGGTTATTGAGCATGGAGCACATAACACTATTTTTAAAAGATCTGAAGATCACCTTTATATGCAGTAAATATGTTTTCTGTATCCTTTACGTCTTTAAAAAAAAATCACCGTGTTTACAGTCCTGCTGGAGAAAAGTCCTCAATTGTCACCAGTCACTGATCAGTGAACCCAGTTAGGTCCCCCTTCTCCTCATCGCCACATAAGTTTATAGCTTAAAATTATAGGCAAAAAAGTGCACCTCCATTATATTTGAAGGCAAATTCGGCCCTTACATATGCATGCACAACTCCCATCAATTGCAATGGGAGTTTGTAGTGGGGCGGCTGCCCCACTCCAATAGGCAGGGGTTAAAAGCAGCCCTGGAGAGGGCTGCGGCTGGGAAAGGCAGTGAGGGCAGCTCAGTGAATAGCTGACCAGAGGTGTGGCCAGCTCAATCAGGGCCCAGCTGGCCCTGATAAGAAGGCTGGAGGGCCAGGAGTTGTAGGAGTCTCTGGAGTGAGAAGGGCCTAGCTACCTGGGAGCACAAGGTACCTGAAGCCGAGCAGGGCTGGAGAAGGGCAAGAGGAGCTGGGGAGCTCCAGCCTGGTAAACCCCCAGGCTGCAGGCCTTGGTGAAGGCCTATAAAGGTACTGGGGCTACAGAGATACAGCCTGGGAATAGGCAGAGGCAGCGGGTCCTAGCCCCTTGCCAATGATGAGTGGCCATGACAGACTGCAGTCTGCCCCAGGGAACGAGGGCTAGATGATGACTGGCAGTAGCCACTGAGGATGGTGGGTATAGAGGGTTGGGGGTTCCCCTGGGAGGGGAGACCCAGAGTAAGGGGGTACTGCTGGGAGAGAACCCTGAGGAAAGGGGCACCAGGGTCCGGGAGGGACACGGGGCCTAAGGCAGGTGAGACACCGGCCAGAAGGAGATGCTCCGGAGCTGGGAGTTGAGCTAATTCCCAAGATGACCAGCAGGAGGCGCCGTGCCGGTGAATCTCACCTTGCTTCAGAGTTGTATGTAAGGCCTGGTCCACACTAACCCCCCACTTCGAACTAAGGTACGCAAATTCAGCTACGTTAATAACGTAGCTGAATTCGAAGTACCTTAGTTCGAACTTACCGCGAGTCCAGACGCGGCAGGCAGGCTCCCCCGTCGATGCCGCGTACTCCTCTCGCCGAGCTGGAGTACCGGTGTCGACAGCGAGCACTTCCGGGATCGATTTATCGCATCTAGACAAGACGTGATAAATCGATCCCAGAAGATCGATTGCTTACGGCCGGACCAGGATGTAAGTGTAGACCTGCCCTAAGTGTCTAATGGTTCACTTTGGTTCTTATGTTGTACACTTAAGCAAGTAATTTCTTGACAATAGCAGTCTTGCTCTCTACAATGTTTATTCTTGCAATTACCATGTACAGTTATGCATCGAACTCCAAAAGCAGTTACTGCTTTGGTCAGAGGTTTTGTTAATCTCTTCTATAAAACAATAAAGGATTCAACATCAAATATCAGTGACTCAATACTCAACCAAAGATGGATCCCCTCCGCACTTTGGGTTACATTCGTAAACAAACTTAAGTGCAATGATGCTGAGTATTGCCAGGCCTAACTTTCAGGCACCTAGAAAATCAGTGGGATTCACAAAGCCTGAGTGCAGGACTAGGCTCCGTATACAATGAATGGGGAGAGATGGGGGATTCAGAATGGGACACACAAAGGCCAGCACGCTTGGCAGCTCCTGGTCTAAGCCAGCCAGTGGGAGATGCCAACCCCTGCCCCACTAACAAAGACAGGTACCTAAGTCTGGGCGGCAGGGTAGTGCCTCCCTCTGCTTGGGACTCAGTTGCAAACCCTCTCTTGGTGTTAGGTGCCCACACTGTTGGAAAAGGAGCTCCCTCGTTATTTTTAGGCCGGTGGTTTGGGTACTCACTTGAGATGTCTGAGAACCACGGTTCAAGTCCCCCCTCCACCTGAGAAGGGATTTGAACAAGAATCTGCCACGGACAGGGGAGTGCTCTAACCACTGGGTTATGGGGTATTTTGATGTGGCACTCCCTCGGTCTCTCCTGTTGAAGCTGTTGCACGCTAGATAAAGAGTCACCAGAGCAGGTGGACTGGATCCTGGTACTCCCACATGAGTACACTAACCACTAGCCTAGTTTTGAAGCTGTACCACGGTGGATAAATAATGAAAGATGCACTGGGCACTCACATGAGAGGTGACGGATCCCTTCTTCCCCACATTTGGAGGTGGGGACTTAAACGGGGGGTCTTCTACATCTCAGGTGAATACCCTAACCATCGCCTGATGTTTAGTGTAAGCTTCTCTGTAGGGGCTTCCCACTCCAGTAGGCAAGGTCTGAGCACACTTACTGGATCGGGCTCCACAGGTGAGTTAGGTGGAGGAACACCTGTCTTCCCCTGGTTCACACATCACTCTGGCCCTTCAGCATTCACTCAAAGGCTGAAAACGCAGGCGTTTGGGGAACTTTCACTACGAAAATTAAGATGCCAAGAGAGTTTAGGTGTCTACCAGGGTTCAGGCAGCTGAGTGGGAGCTTTGTGAGTGGCAGTTATGCACCTAATCTAGCCCGTGGAAGGAAAGATCTCTCAACTGGCTTCTTTTCTTTTCCCTTTTGATTATTTTCCAGAGTAATTCCAGAGTCCAGGGTCTCAGATCCAAGTGAAAGATAATCATGAGTAACACAAAAGCATCTCAGCAGAGAATCATAAAGGAAATCAGCCAAAATACATGACAGGCACAGGAGAATCCCCCAGTGGAAACATACTTTTGAAAACAAATCTTTTTACATTAACCTCCAAATTTCAGAAACAGTTTTCACCTCGGCTTCCTCCATTCTTTACAGCAAATACCATTTCACTTAACTTTAAGATCTTTTACATATTTTGGATATTTAACATTAAATATTTTATGATGCTTCCATTTATCTGAACAGCAACTTGAATTTTTAACTCTTAGAAGTCTCTCTCTAACTTCAATCCAAGCTGTTAAAGAATAGGCAGCAGCATCTCTTATAAAGACAATAAATCAATATTTGCTATGACAAAAGCAATAAAAATTAAGTTTACTTATTTGTAGCTAAAGCACTTGGAATAGATTTCCTCCTCCAACCAACACTTAAGTCTCAAGGCAAAATCCTAGCCTGTCTTGTGCAGGAACAGTGGAATACTACGGCTGAGCACTGCTCTCAGAATTAGGCAACTGCCCTGGATAACATATGCAGCAGCCCTCCAGGGACCTGAAGGGAAGCACTCCCTTCTCCTCTGCATACTTGCTGCCATCAGTAGCTGGAACTGGGAGAAACATATTGTTCCATATAGAAGTGGTAGCGCGGAGTGCTGCAAAGCATAATTTTGACATTAGGGGGTGAGATATCCATTGTGGAGGGAGAACAATGATAACATAAAGCTGTTTAGAGAATTAGCTCCCCAATGCACTTTTAACATCCTACAGTTACTACATGTAGCTAAATGAATCTTACCAGAATACTTAGGAAATCCTTTAGACAGAAACCTCACAGATGTTATAAGAGGGTCAGTTCCCAGCTTCTGGCCAACAAATCTTACTGTTACTACTGCATATGGAAGGCATTGCCTAGGCTTATCCACTGGTTTTGAGTGTATATTGTATTCATAGAAATAAACCTGTAATTTAAAGAAAGAAGAAGAAGAAGGTCACAAAAGTAAGTGGTTTGTTTTATCAACAGCTAAAACTGCATGAACTCTGGCATTTTATTACAGAACATGGGACTGGCCCTACTGGGTCACATCAGTGGTCTATTTAGACCAGTATCCAGTCTTTCAACAGTGGCCAATGCCAGATGCTTCAGAAGAAATGAACAGAACACAGCAATCATGGAGTCATCTATCCCCTATTATCCATTCCCAGCTTCTGGCAAACAGAGGCTATGGACACTCAGAGCAAGGGGGTGCATTCCTGACCATCATGGCTAACAGCCATTGCTGGAGTTATCCTCCATGAATTTATCTACTTCTTTTTTGAACCCTGTTATAGTCTTGGCCTTCACAACATTCCCGGCAATGAGTTCCACAGGGTAACTGTGTGTTGTATGAAGAAGTACTTCCTTTTGCGTGTTTAAAACCTTCTGCCTATTAATTTCATTAGGTGACCCCTTGTTCTTGCATTCTATGAAGGAATAAATAACATTTCCTTATTTCTCTTTCTACCCACCAGGCAAGATTTTATAGACCTATATCAGATCCCCGCTTAGTCATCTCTTTTTCAAGATGAAAAAACCCAGTCTTGTTAATCTCTCCTCATATGGAAACTGTTCCATACCCCTAATCATTTTTGTTGCCCTTCATTGTACCTTTTCCAATTCTAATAACTTTTTTGAGGTAGAGCGACCAGAACTGCAGGCAGTATTCAAGGTGTGGGCGTACCATGGATTTATATAAAGGCATTATATTTTCTGTAGTATCTATTCCTTTCCTAATGGTTCCTAACATTGTTAGCGTTTTTGACTACTGCTGCACATTGAGTGGATGTTTTCAGAAAACTATCTACAATGACTCCAAGATCTCTCTCGAGTTGTAACATCTAATTTAGACCCCATCATTTTCTTTGTATAGTTGGGATTATGTTTTCCAATGTGCAATACTTTTGTGATGGGGCAAGGCCAGATGGCTACAGTAAAGTAGTGAGGAACAGGTATGTTAGCCCCAGGCTAAACAAATCCCTGGTACCATGGTAACCAAATGGCAGTTGCTCCAGGTTAATCAAGACACCTGGGGCCAATTAAGATCCTTCTAGAAGGCAGGAGAGACAGCTAGATTGATTGGGACACCTGAAGCCAATCAAGGACTGGCTGGAACTAGTTAAAAGCCTCCCAGTTAGTCAGTGTGGTGTGGGTGCCAGGAGCTATAGGAGGGAGCTGTGCTGTTGGAGGAATGAAGTAGTATGAATCCATATCAGGTGCAAGGAAGGAGGCCCTGAGGTAATTGTGAAGAAGATATTGAGTGGGGGCTGCTGTGGGGAAGTAGCCCAGGGAATTCTACATGCCCTATTTCCAAAAAGTCAGCTTCCATAGCTGCTAAGTTTAGGGTCCCTGGGCTGGAGCCTGGAGTAGAGAGGGTGGGCCTGGGCTTCTCCCCCCCCCCCGATTAATCACTGATACTGGGAGACAACAGAGACTGTGTGAGGGAGGGTTGTTTCTCCTCACCTCCCTGGCTGGCTTATGATGAAAATGGCTCAGTAGACTGTGACCCTTGCCTCTAGAGAGAGAAGGGCTATGTGGAGGGTCACAGTGAGCCTCTGAAGCTAGCAAAATCCGTCAGGAAATGCAGGACCCACGGAGTCAAGGACAGAACTTTGTCACACTTTGTATTTATCAACATTGAATTTCATCTGCCATTTTCTTGCCCAGTCACCCAGTTTTGTGAGATCCCTTTGTAGCCCTTCACAGTCTGCTTTGGACTTAACTATTTTGAGTAATTTTGTATTACAGTACTATAATCCCTGCAAAACCTCTTCTAAAAATGTTAATCTCAGAGTGAATTAAAAACAAGATTTTTAAAAAATTAAATCGTGTTTAAACTAGATTTATTTTATTTTCGTGTTGCTAGTTCTTTCTTCCCACTTTCTAGTTTTAGATCACTAAAGTGGATCTTCTGCACCTGTTTCTTTAATTAGTTTCCTAATGATTGGTAGAATCGGTTTCACAGTTGTTGTTTTATTAGCCACTCTCACACATAAAATGTTCATCCATATTGAAAATGAGAAACCCAGCTCCTCATTAACATCCTTATTGTGAGATTGCCACAAACTTACACACAAAACTGACGAGTCAATAGCCTGTGCTACATTTTCAACCAACAACACTTTCCAACGTACTGAACTTCTACACATCAAAAAAGCTTTGACTGGGCTATAGTACACCAGTGCTTTTGAAAATCCCACCCGTAGGTGCTTAACTTTAAGCTCCAATTTTTAAACATGTTGGCCTTTGTGTATAAAAAAGTTCCTATTAACTTTGTTAATGTCTTCAAGGTTTAAACAAAGAAGTTAATTACATGTTGTTAACACTGAAGCAATTGTGTTTGAAGTGACAAGGATTTTGTGTCACTAAAATGAAAGATGTTAGACCAAGACCAAGCATGTGGACCAAGGGGATCCAGTGGATATAGTGTACCTAGATTTTCAGAAAGCCTTTGACAAGGTCCCTCGCCAAAGGCTCTTACGCAAAGTAAGCAGTCATGGGATAAGAGGGAAGATTCTCTCATGGATTGGTAAATGGCTAAAAGATAGGACACAAAGGGTAGGAATAAATAGTCAGTTTTCAGAATGGAGAGAGGTAAATAGTGGTGTCCTCCAAGGTTCTGTTCTGGGACCAGTCCTATTTAACATATTCACAAATGATCTGGAAAAAGGGGTAAACAGTGAGGTGGCAAAATTTGCAGATGATACAAAATTACTAAAGATAGTAAAGCCCCAGGCAGACTGCGAAGGGCTACAAAAGGATCTCTCAAAACTGGGTGACTGGGCAACAAAATGGCAGATGAAATTTAATGTTGATAAAGTAATGCACATTGGAAAGCATAATCCCAACTATTCATATAAAATGATGGGTCTAAATTAGCTGTTACCACTCAAGAAAGAGATCTTGGAGTCATTGTGGATAGTTCTCTGAAAACATCCACTCAATGTGCAGCAGCAGTCAAAAAAGCAAACCGAATTCTGGGAATAATTAAGAAAGGGATAGATAATAGGACAGAAAATATCATGTTGTCTCTATATAAGTCCATGGTACGCCCACATCTTGAATACTGTGTGCAGATGTGGTCGCCCCATCTCAAAAAAGATATATTGGAAAAGGTTCAGAAAAGGGCAACAATATGAGTAGGGATATGGAATGGCTTCCATATGAGGAGAGATTACTAAGACTGGGACTTTTCAGCTTGGAAAAGAGACGGCTAAGGGGAGATATGATTGAGGTCTATAAAATCATGACTGGTGTAGAGAAAGTAGATAAGGAAGTGTTGTTTACTACTTCTCATAACACAAGAACTAGGGGTCACCAAACAAAATTAATAGGCAGCAGGTTTAAGACAAATAAAGGAAGTATATTTTTACACAATGCACAGTCAATCTGTGGAACTCCTTGCCAGAGGACGTTGTGAAGGCCAAGACCATAACAGGGTTCAAAGAAGAATTAGATAAATTCATGGAGGATAGGTTCATCAATGGGTATTAGCCAGGATGGACAGGAATGGTGCCCCTGGCCTCTGTTTGCCAGAGCTAGGAATGAGTGACAGGGGATGGATCACTTGATGATTACCTGCTTCTGTTCATTCCCTCTGGGGCACCTGGCACTGGCAATGTCGAAAGACAGGATACTGGGCTAGATGAACCTTTGGTTTGACACAGTAGGGCCATTCTTATGTTTTTATGTTCTTATGTTAATAAAAATACAACAATAGCCCCTGATGTTAAGCACACAAGTCATCCCATTTAAATTAATGGACTATTCATGTATGTAAAGTTACATACCTGCTTAAGTGTTTGCAGGATCAGGGCCTCAATTTTGCATATCTTGTATTTTGCCTACAGCACTTTTGTGAAATTCATATAAGATGCCCTACCAAATATGGTATTTCAAAAACAATAATTCATCGTTACATTTTAATCTGAAGCTACAATAGCACAATTTTTCAAAACTGATTTTACAACGCCTCAACATGATTTAAATCAGTGATTTAATCACCTTGATTTAAACTGTTCCACCCTGATCTCAAATCCATTATGCTGAAAATTTAAGGGTGAGGGGGCAGATGGAAGGGAAACAATCTTTTTAAAAGATGAGTACTATTATTCAAATTTAAAAGATAAATATCTTCATTATAAAGTTGTCCAACCAAATATAAATCTAATTTTGATCACATTATGTATAAAAAAAATTTATTGAGCAGTAAACAAAACTGTCTGCAAATATTGAAATCCGTACATGCGTCATATGTATACTCACAATGCATTATTCAACTAAACAAATTAAGAGGTTGGAGTTTAGGTTGTATGTTGCAGCAATTGTCAGTTCTTGGATATATGCAATAGTACTACTGGAATGGAAAGTGTGTTAGAGATACTATTAGCATATTGGTGTGGTTGAGTTATTGTGATGGTGTGCTGAGTGGACACAACACAATACGTTCAACTGTCATTACATTGTGGAAGGAAATTGTTGTAAATAATATTATTAATAAACTTCAGAAGTAGGCTATGCTACGCATTTTGCTAGAATCTGGAGAGGAGAAAGTTTTCAAGTCTGAGAATTCAGTAATTTATATGCTACAGGGATCTGAAGAGAGGTTAGATTTAGAGTCATTGAGTTTAAGGCCAGAAGGGACCACCAGATCCTCTAGTCGGACCTCCTGTATATCACAGACCACCAACACCACCCAGCTACCAAAATTAGACCAAAGTATCACAGCCCACAGAAGACTAGACTATTATGTGCCACAGGCAGAGATTTTAAGGGGTTGAGGTGTACCAGAGATTGAGGCCCCTGCAGTGGGAGGGAAAAGATTAAGTGAGATATACCCAGATAATCCTGGCAAGTGACCCGCACCTACACACTGCAGAGGAACGCGAAAACCCCCAAGGTCACTGCCAATCTGACCTTGGGGAA